CTCAGTTAAAAGGAATGCTAACTAACTTTGGCTTCACCCGGACTGATGAACTTTGACAAAGGTCTACACAACATGCACGTNTTTTTTTGAGAAATAGAACAGTTCCTTAATGTCCGTCATCCTCCTGAAAAGCATTGCCATGACTGTAACTGTACAGGTCACAAGAGAGAATACTGTAGAAATCGAACCAAAGACAAGAAAATCTGAAACAGGTGAGAAAAGCCTTCATACCGGAACTTACTCTTTTCATCCACCCCGGTATTTACCATCTAGAGCAAATAGATGATGGCAATGATGGATGATGGTAAGGCAATATGTATCTGTCTCAGAGCAGATGCTACCTTGTCGAGCAATGCGGTTCGGGTAACCACAGGCCGTCTGAAGCCACGACCATCCGCCCTCACATTGAAATTTGCCAACAATCAGCCATCAAGGTGCGAGAATGTTGCAATTACAACATCGCCAAAACGGTCATCAAGGACAAGGCACTTGCTACATCACCGACACCCCGTTCTCGCTACGTCCTGCTATGAAGGGCAGCGGAGAAAGTCTTTTAAGGGCTTATTACTCATCTACTCGGACCTGTTTTACAGCATGTCTACCTGGCTACCTATCATCTTAGGCAAGATCGGTGTGTCTTCTCTCGAGTTCTCCCTTCTCAAATTCAACATGCCACCACGCCGATAAAGAAATGTACGGCGCGCGGTCCCGATAGGATCAAATCAGAACAACTGAAGCCCACGTTGTGGAAAACTGGCAAGACGGTATCGCTATATAAGAGGGAAGATCCAAACGATATGATCGAGCCTGAAGAGAGATGGAATCAACATGGCAATACCATCTCACTCGAACTTTTCGATCCCGCTCTTGAAAACAATAAAGAACATGTGTTATTTACAAGTCACGGGACTGTAGAAAGCCCTTGAGAAAAGGCACTTGGAGTTTTTGTACATACGAATGTGCAGAAGGGAATCTGAAGCTTCTAGCTTCGCCGATGAATG